TGATAAAAAAGCTTGAACTGTAAGGAAAGCAGTCAAATGCCATTACGGCATTTAGTTTGATTAGTGACGATTCCCATAACGCAGAGTCATCGCTTGACGTGCAAGCCACAGAAGTCACTTACCATTTGCATCACCTGCTTATTCCAAAGATCGAGCAGCCGATTGATGACTAGAACGAAGCAAATCATACATGCGCCGCACCATAAACCTGAAATATTCCTCGTTGCAACTATCAGACATTGCGCAATAGTTAATGTAGTCTCCCATTAGCCACCTTCTCCAGGTATTATTTTTCTTTTTACTCTGTTCTGGTTCTCTAGAAGAAGCATTTTATGAACCTAGAGAGAAACATGGAAAGCAACATGTCGGTATATTTGGCTCTAAGCCGTCGATTTCTTGATCTCAACGGCAAGATCGATGACTATTCCCAACCTGGAGACTAAATAAACATAAGCCATCTAGTTCTCTTTTTGGAGCACTGAATGTGGTTGTTACAATCCTTGCGAAAGAAATCTTCTGAGCTGCAAATTCTGAAAAGGCCATGTGCATCCGAAGAGGCTAGAAGGGGAGTGTTCACTGTTTGGTCTTCGTTTCCTATAACTGATTCTGCAGTTGCAGGTAGAGTCGTGGTGAGTCTACTTCCCCATAAAATACGGGAGACAGCGTTGTGACCATCGTCAGTTTTCGATCAACAACCTGGAAATTTTGGGGATCAAGGATGCCGCCTTCTTTTTTTTCTCAGCAGTTGAAGCTTGTTATGATAAATTTCAGTCATCGAACTTTGAGGGTACCGATCTGAAATAGCCAGATTGTGTAAGATTGCTCTCTAGAGGAAGATTAGTGGGACAAAATCATCTAGCAGTGAGAAACTCCCTCTCCTTATCCCACCCGCTCAAAAATAGCATCCATCACTCAAGGAACTCAGCGGCTTGCGATGGGCTTTATTTTTCGGAAGATTATAGTTCGTTACAGAACTGCAGCCTTGAAAGATATATAGTCCTAGCGCTGTCTTTCGGAAGAGTAAATTTTCAGCAAAAAAGAGATTTTTATACCATGATTGAAGAGCATGTTGGCTATCTACTTAGACTGAAATTGTGCTTCGCAACATAAAGAAGAAACTGATCTTGGATATCGGAGAAGCACCTTTTCAGTTTGGTTTTATTATGAATAAAGATGCTTACCCAGCCCGGCAGATCCAGCGACATACATCAAGCGGGGCATTAAACAGTAGTTTGCGCCGATCATCCAGAAGTATCCGGTCAGCAATGAGTTCACCCCGATCGCACACATATCGTATAGGCCTTGAAAGCCATGATAGTTAAGTTTACACGTAGATGTGAAAGTACAGAAAATTTCCTCGAATAGTGCTTCTACTGAATATCGGAGACAATGCAGCGCCTCATTCTAATCAGATCTTGGAGAGATTCTGGTAAGGCTGAAAAAGCCGGGAGCTGCCCGTGATGTGCACTTTTAAAAGTACCCCTCAATTTTGCGCTACACCATCTTGACAGCACAGCTAACATCACATGAGGTATTATCAAATATCGAGTACTTCTTTTG